GACGGTGAAGCGGGAGTCCCCCACGTCCGGGCGCAGCGGCTCGAGAGGCAGGGCGTCCTGGGACTGGGATCTTTCTGTAGAGGGCGCAGTGGCCGAGTGTTGCAGCCCCGGACCCCTTCACCCTGACAGGGCCTCACCACAGAGACCTGAGGGGCTGGTGTGAAGCGAGGCGGGTTTTCCGGCCCTAGAGGCGCTTGGACAAGCCAGCCCAAGGCCACGACTCCAAAGGATTTAGGCTGGGTGAGCCCAGTTAGAGGAAAAACCACTAGGGGCGGGCTGTGGGAATTACTCCGCCTGCCGGGCTGGAGGCGAGGCGGGAGGGGGCGGAGCTTCGTGTGTCGAATCTGTCGGCCCGGAAGAGCAGCTTGCCCAGCGCTGGCCGGAAGCACCGCCTCCAGGAAGCGGAAGCGGCTTGCTCCCACGTTCTTCAGCTGTTACTCTTGGAGTCGGGCGGACCTTTTCATGGTGACGTTCTGCTGGGGGCAGCCGAGACCTTCAGAAGCACGCGTGAGCTGTAAGGACTGGGTCCAGCTACGGGGGTTTTCCCAGATCTCGTCCCCGCTCCTCATTCGGATTGGTTTGGTATGGAGACGTATTGTTGCTGGACCCAGATCGCCCAGACTGCATTCATTCATTCACTGATTCTTAATTTGACCAAAAGTGTGTGTGCACTTTTTCAGGCTTTGATATGGGCCAGAAAGGTGTTTTCTGTTCCTTAAAACAAGGAGAAAAAAAGGAGTAATTTATTTCCATAACTCCAGCTCCCACCCCCTTTCCCAGTAGTGATTGTCCGTTCTGTCCCAACACTTGACTTGACAAATGGCTGCCTGTAAATATGGCGGGCAGTGTATTAGAGCTTAAATCCCCAACATCTGTTTGCAGGCTATCAATGACAATGAAAGCCCTAAATCCATTGCAGAGACTCACGTTGAAGTAAGCCTCCAATGAATTCCTAATGATCAGTGAAGTCTTGTTTTCAGGCAGAGTATGTCTCCCGTAGGGGCTGTTGTTAGGAGTCACAGCCTGACTGTCTTGGTTGGAAGGGCCAGTGTCTATCTTGTAAGCGCTTCTGTCTAACATTATGTATTGTCTAACATTCATGGGTCTGTTCCCACTTCTGTAATTGATGTGTTGATCTGCTGCCAATCATGCTTTTGTGAGTTTCCTTTGCCCTCTCATGTCCTTATTAAAGTCCTGTATCACAGGAAGCCCCCGAGACACCATTATGACCTTGTGTTAATGGCCTCCCTCATCTGGACCATGTTTCTTTGCCCTCTTTAAGATTTAATAAATGTTCTACTTAGATTATATTTGAGATTTAGGGTTTCTTTTGTACCTTAAAGCAGGAGGAGGTAAGGAGCTTTGGATTCACCCTACTGAACAGCCAGCATGTTGTACCAGAGGTAACAGGTTGAGAGTGTCTGAACAAAAACAACCAAATGTACTTACAGCTAGTGTGGCAGCATCCGGTGGACTCCAACTCTTAGCAACCGTATGCACAACAGAATGAAGTCCTTCCTGTTCCTATGCCAGCCTCTCAATTGTTAACTGTACAGTGAACCCTTGTTTATCGCGGTTAATTGGTTCTAGACCCTACCGTGATAAATGAAATTCCGCGAAGTAGGATTCCTTATTTGTAAATCCAATATTTTCGTAGTTAGAGCATAGAAGACATGAAAAAACACCCTTTAGTCACCATTACACTCGTATTACCCAATTTATTAAACGAAAAAGGGAAAATACAGTAAAACATTTTGGACGTTACAATTATCATTTATTATATTATTTATGGCATCAAGCATGTACAGTATGAGCCAATCAGTGGCAGTAATGACAGAGCATGCGCTGTTACGCAAAAACCGCGATAGAGTGACGCCGCGGAAGTCGAAGCGCGAAGTGGCGAGACTTCACTGTACATCCATTGTTGGAGCCACTGTGTCAGTCCATCTCCTAGATCTTTTGCACTGACTCTACCAAATATGTTGTCCTTTTCTATGGACAAGTCTCTCCTGATACCATGTCCATAGTGTGTACTTACTTCTAAGGAGCATTCTGGCTGTACTTCCTCCAAGAGATGTTTGTTTTTCTGGCAAGCCATTAACTATTCTTCACCAACACTATAATCCAAATAAATAATTTTTCCTGTTTTCTTTACTCAAGTCATTAGATAAGTGTAGTCTGCGCTCTAATAGAAATTTGTATCTGGCTATGATGCCATTCTCAAGGTTTGTTTTCTTGGAGAATTCACCTTATAGTAAGAATAACTGAAGTCCCTTCTCTGCCATTGAGTCAATTGTGACTCATAGAGAGTCTACAGGGCAGAGTAGAACTGTCCCCTTTGGGTTTCTAAGACTAAATCTTCACAGGAGCAGAAAGCCTCACCTTCCAAGTGGCTGGTGGATTTGAACTGGTGACCTTGCAGTTTGAAGTCTACCTCACCACCGAAGGTCCTTAGGCTGTCTTTAAGATAAGCTTTTAACCAAGCATAACTAATAGGACACTCCTGTCCTGATATATCAATGTTAGGCTTCTCAGAAGCCTTGGGAGAAGAAAGAATCACAAGTTCAGCTTGTGGTTCAGTCATCAGGGCCAGAAGTTCTGCTCAGCAATCTAGGAATAAGAGAAAAATAAAGTTAGGGATATGTATATAGACATATATACCAACCCACAAGAATGTTATTTTTCATAAATGCATTCTCTTGCTACTTTATTTTTACAGGAAGAAAATAAAATGTCTCAAAAACAGATGAAGGAAGATTTTGTAAGGAACCTCAATGGCACCACTGTCCTAGAAATCACCCAGAGTTTGTGCTTACCCGCACCCTGTGTCCTGTGCCGAGGGCTGCTGATCATTCTCCTACAGCACTTTGGTTCTTCATTTACCTGGAGAGCCCAATTCTTCCTTGACTTTGTTGTTCTGATTGTCCCCCTGGTGGCCACTTTCACCATTTTATCTTCCCATCTCCTCCTTGAGCAGCTTACTGTTACTATCTTGGGGGCAGTATTGGCCTACCAGATATACCACAGAAGGACTTGTTATGCCAGAGTGCCTGTACCGAAAATCGTCGAGAAGTTCCTGAAAATAAATCTAGAATCAGAATACATTCCAGCTGTCACCTGTTTCCGTGTAATTAACAGTGTACTGACTGCTATTGCCATTTTGGCCGTGGACTTCCCACTTTTCCCCAGACGATTTGCCAAAACGGAGCTCTATGGAACAGGAACAATGGATTTGGGTGTAGGCGGCTTCCTTTTTGGAAGTGCAATGGTTTGTTCAGAGGTGAAGAGCAAATCCACCATGGAGGGACCCAGATTTTCTCCAGTTACGAAGTCATTGCACTCTGTTTGGCCGTTAGTCTTCATAGGAATAGGGCGGCTAGTCGTTATAAAGTACATAGGCTATCAAGAGCACGTAACTGAATATGGAGTTCACTGGAACTTTTTTTTTACCTTTGCTATTGTAAAATTGGTAACATCGTTGCTTTTAATTATTTTTCCTCTAAATAAATCTTGGATTGTGGCCATCAGCATTATTGTAGTATACCAGCTAGCACTTGACTTTACCCCCCTAAAACAGTTCATTTTGCATGGCACTGATGGCAGTGGCACAAGGGTTGGTTTATTAAATGCCAACAGAGAAGGAATCATCTCTACTTTGGGGTATTTGGCGATCTATATGGCTGGTGTGCAAACAGGGTCGTATCTGTTTAAGAACAGATCACATATCAAAGACTGGATCAAAGTATTATGTTGTCTTCTGTTGACAGCTATTACCCTCTTCGTGTGTCTTTACATAATTCAGAGGAATTTAGAAGCAGTCTCTCGAAGAATGGCCAATTTAGCCTTTTGTGTTTGGATAGTTGCTACTAGCTTGATTTTTCTTAGTAGTTTAATTATGTGTGATATAATTTTGAGTTTTGCCAAGTTTCTATTTAAAGGGGCCTTAGTACCATGTTCTTGGAAACTTATCCCATCACCTGCTACAATGAAAAAGCATTCAGAGTCCCCAGGCCCCGAAGCTGAAAGGAAGGCAGACAGTCTTTGTTTAATCACAGCTATTAACAGAAACCAGTTGTTTTTTTTCTTGCTGTCAAATGTAACCACTGGCTTGGTCAACCTGATGGTAGACACATTACACAGCGGCACCTTGCGGACCTTCTGTCTGCTGCATCTCTACATGCTGACCAACTGCTTCATTACATTTGTGCTGTATGTGCAAGGTAGGGCTAGAAAATTTAGGTGATCAATATGGGTAAAAGCTGTCTGAGTATTTTTATGGAGAACAAATATTAAATGTGGAGTAAATGTGTTTTTGACAATCCAGTGTTAACTATATTTTATTGTAGTTTCAACCCTTAACATTGCGATGCTTTCTATTTTATTGTGTCCAACACTGTATAAACTAAACCAACAGAGAAGAAACAAGACCTGTAATTTGGTGGTTTATTAAATTTCAGTATTTAAAGGGAACAGTTTATAGAGGTCTAACACTGGAAGATTGGAGTATAGGAAGGAAGTATTTTACTTTACATCTTATGTCACCGTATACCATTCTGCATTTTTTTCTGTTTTTGTCTTTAAATTTTTAATTAGATTTGGGTGAAAGTTTACAAAGCAAGCTGCTTTTTCTCGTTAACGGTTCATACACGCATTTTGTTTCAGGACTTTGATTGTAATCCTCACGATGTATTTATCACTTTTCCTCACTTGCTTCTTGTGTTTATCATTTCCATTTGCCCTTCTTTCCTGTCTCCTGAGCTTTATGCTGCTGCCCCCTTGTGGCATGGAAACCCTGGGGGTGTAGTGGTTACATGTTGGGCTGTGATCTGCAAGGTCTGCAGTTTGAAACCAGCCACTCTGTGAGAAAGATGAGTCTTGGCTCTCATAAAGAGTTAGCATCTTGGAGACTCAAAGGGGCAGTTTTACCCTTCCCTATAGGGTCTCTGAGTTAATTCAATGGCACTGAGTTTTTGGTTTGGGGGGTATAGTAGTTACACATTGGGCTACCAACTGAAAAGTCAGCAGTTCAAAACCACCAGCTCACTTAGCACAAGAAAGAGAAGGTTTTCTACTCCCATAAAGAGTTACAGTCTCCGAAACCCACAGAGGCAGGTCTAACCTGTCCTATAGGATCACTGTGGGTTGGAAATGACGGGATGAGTTTTTTATCTTGGGTGGGTGGTTGGTCTGGGACCTCAGATCCCCCCGAGTTTACTGTTCACCTTACAGGCCTATTGTTTGGCTAAAAGTTGAGCCACAGGTGTGGCTTAAAGGGTCATTAAGGGCCAGTCTCATGGTTTCACCAGTTTCTATCAGACTAATAAACCTGGTCTTTATTATTACTGAGTTTTGTTCCACATTTTCTTCCACTCTAACCATGATCACTTATTGTGATCTCTTATCCACTCTATCCATGATCCCTTACAGAGTGGTTGGCAGTGGTAGGTAGGTACCATCTAGTTCTGGTCTTGAGCCTGGGGTTCCATTCGTCCATTAGCCCTTTAGAATAATTGTTTCCAGGAGTCTGATTTCCTTCACTCTTCTTTTTTTTGTTGAATCGTTTTATTAGGGGCTCATACAACTCATCACAATCCATACATAACATCAATTGTGTAAAGCACATTTGTACATTCATTGCCCTCATCATTCTCAAAACATTTGCTCTCCACTTAAACC